AAAAAAAAAAAAGAGAAAATTCTTAAAATATGTTTATTAATTCACTTAAAATGAACAACAATAAATGACATTTTAACATAAATAGCACTTTTTATGAAAAATAACTATTTCTTGAATATTAAAAACATTACCAAAGATAGCCTCATTTTATATTTTTTGCAAATTTCTTTAATATCTGGCTTAATGGAGGACAGCTGGATCCTCGTGTCTGCTTTTGGATTTGACTTGTCACACCATCATAATTCATACAGCTTTAAGCAATTGAACATAGGCCAGGCCAGGTGGCTCATACCTGTAATCCTAGCAATCTGGGAGGCCAAGGCAGGTAGATTGTCTGAGCTCATGAGGTAGAGATTAGCCTGAGCCAGTGTAAAACCTTGTCTCTAAAAATAGCTGGGCATTGTGGCAGGCACCTGTACCAGGCCCAGCTATTCAGGAGGCTGAGGCAAGAGAATCACTTGAGCCTAAGAGTATGAGGTTGTTGTGAGTCATGTTGCCATTGCACTCTACTGAGGGTGACCAAGTAAGACTCTGTCACAAAAAAAAAAAAAAAGAGAGAGAGAGAGAGAGATTGAGCATGAAAAAAGCAAGTAAAGCAAGTCATCTCTTAGTAGTATGAAAATAATCATGACATTGTAGACTCATTGAAAGGGTTCTGGGGACTCCTTAGGATTCCCCACACTACACTTTGAGAATTGCAGGTTTAACTAAATGGTCCATTCTAACTCACCCTGCTTTAGCACCACACTCCTCCATGCAACTCCAAATTTCAAGGTACATTGGCTTCAAAATCCTTTGAGCAATTTCCCTGTCCCTGGCTAGAAACTTTTTCACACTTGGATGTTTGGTGGTTTAGTGGTGCTTCCTCAGATATGTCTCGAGGACTGAGACTCCACCGTCAGCAGAGAGTCCTGTGCTCAAGCAGTGATACCTGCTCCAACAATCCTATATCGTGTTCCTTTGGGTTATTTGGCCAGCATGGGCGGGGCAGCATGTGTTCCATTTTCCGCCCTGGCCATTTGCCTCTCTCTGTTCAGGTTGTCAAACTCATCTTTTATTTGGCTCTTGGTTTGCCCACTCAGCACATCTTCTCTGTCTGTGTGGCTCCTGAGCCTGTTGAGGAAGCAGGGTCTTCCTTTGCTGAGAGTGACATTTTCACAGTGTCCATAAGAAAAACAAACAGGTATTTTTTTGTTTGTTTTTCTCTGTCCCTCTTCAGTACCCCCATCCAGCTCCTTGCCCTTGCCTCAACCTCAATGAACTCAGCAGGTCAGCAGCATTTCAAGTGGCATTCTGGGCATATCCCTCCTTTACGCCAGTCCCCCCTTACCGTTATAGCCCTCCTGCAGCCATGGTGGTCAGGTGTATTAGCAACACCTACCTCTGGGGGCCTCCCTAGCTCTCCCTCCCACTCTGGGTGCCTTTTGCATGTGCTGTCCTCTTGTGCACACCAAGAACCAGAAATTGCACCTTGGCTTCTCTTTGGCCAAAGGCAGGCCCTGTAGCCTCAGGATTTTTATTTCGTAAGATTTCCTAGAAAAGCAAGGACATTTGCTCACTTCAGTTACATGGCTTTGTTATGTCCTAACTCACACCCCTCCACACTATGTGCATGTGCCTGCATATTTCATATGATCCCCATGTAAGTTTTATCTTACAGAAACATAACGGATTGCAGCTTTTTAATCAGCTGTACCCCAGCTACCACCCGACCACACACACACGCAACTGCTCTGTTATAGCCTATCTAGGATAGGATAGAGTCCAGTGTGGCACGTGTCAAGCATCATTGAGCCTACTCAAATGCACATATTTTTTAACCACCCCGAGCAGGACCACACTTACATTCTTCAGTGCTGCTTACTAGTCTGCCCATCCTTTAAGGACCAACTCTTGAGCCTCTTCCTGTAAGAAAAGCCCCTCTCAGGCTGGACCAGGTAGCCCATCCTAGTGCTCTGAAATGCCAAGGTGGGAGGATTGCTTGAGGCTAGGAGTTTGGGACCAACCTGTACAAAAGCAAGATCCCATCTCTACTAAAAATAGAAAAAATTACCTGGGCATTGTGGCAGGCGGCTGTAGTCTCAGCCACTTGGGAGGCTGAGGCAGGAGGATCACTTGGACCCAGGAGTTTGAAGTTGCTTTGAGCTTGGCTGACACCATGGCATTCTAGCCTAGGCAACAGAGTGAGACTTCATCTCAAAAAAAGGGAAAAAAAGCCCCTTGGGGGAGTTAGTGAACTCTTCCTTATTAGTACTTATGTAATTGGGAATCTTGCCACTTCACTACTCTGGGGATTTCACGTGATATGTTCACTCTAGCATCCACTGTTTCACCCATTAGGAAGTATATCATAAGTTTTTATTAATTGGCTGGTTGCTTAACTAGCCCCTGGCTGGTTATTACTTACTTTGTTATAGTTACTGGTACTGCCATTGAAAACGTATCTGTTAAGTGAAAATTTTCCCCCATGTTAACACTTAAGTCTTGTTACTTTTGTTTTTCTTCACTCTAGCGCTTGACCACCTCCCATCCTGGAGAGCAGAGGGAGACGGTTCTGCAGGCCTACATCAGCAATGACCTCTTGGACTGTCATAGCCACAACCAGGTGGGTGGGCCAGTTCCTGGCCACGGCCTTCAGTTCTAGGGAGTGGTCTTAGCAGATGGAAGAAGCTTTCACTTCTATGTACGTTTTAGCACAGTGACCATGTGGCAGCACTGAGACCTGTTGTTCACCCTGGATAACAGATCTCACTAGTTACCTTCCAGTACAGAGTTCTAAAAATGTTAAAACTGCTTAATTCATCTCTAGACCTCTTTTCTACCATTTTTCCTTTTCTCAAATTCTCAACTCTTTCCTGCACTTCACTTTGTACCATGAGTCCTAGAAACTGAGCATGACTTAGGATGGGCAATGTATATAAGTAAATCCAGGTTTTCTCTTATCTGGGCATGACTAAAAAATGTGTCTTTTACATGTGTACACAGTTTTGGACCAGATAGGTCTACTGACACAGTGGGAAAAGTATGCCATCTGGGGTGAGATGAATTGCTGTCAGACCTGTGTGCTCAGAGGACAGGACTCCTTAGCCCCAGGCCTAGCACCAAGTGGTCTCCATGTTCTAGTGCTCCCCCTCCCTTCTCCTTACCCCTCCTTGTATATCTGCAGCCCATTTCACTGGACAGTACAAAGATCAGGATCTTGAACTTATAAAGAGGATGCTGCATTTCATTATTTCAGTTGAATTTTTATTAGAATCTTCTAAAATATAAAGCTACAGTTAAGCTTCACAATGTGTGGCGTATCAAACACTCTCAGTGCTCATTGATTAAACAGCTGTCTTTGGCCATTTCTTGCTACTGTAACAGAATACCACAGACTAGGTAATTTTTTTTTTTTTTTTGAGACAGAGCCTCACTATGTTGCCCTAAGTAGAGTGCTGTGGTGTCACAGCTCACAGCAACCTCAAACTCTTGGGCTTAAGTGATTCTCTTGCTTCAGCCTCCCAAGTAGACTATAGGCACCTGCCACAATGGCTGGTTACTTTTTTGTTGTTGCAGTTGTCATTGTTGTTTAGCTGGCCTGGTCTAGGTTCAAACTCACAAGCTTCAGTGCATGTGGCTGGCACCATATGGCTGGTGCCATAACTACTATGCTACGGGCACCAGACTGGGTAATTTATAAACAACAGAAATTTATTTGGCCCACAGGTCTCAAGGCTGGGTCCAAGAGTTTGGCACCAGCATGTAGCAAGGGTCATCCCATGGCAGAAGCAGGCACACTAGACAGAGAATGGAAATGGAACCTACCCTTTTATCAGGGGCCTACTCCCAGGATAATTAACCCACTCCCACAGTGATGGCATTAATCCATTCAGGAGGCCAGAGGTATATTGGCAATTAAATTTCAACATGGGTTTTGGTGGAGACATTCAAACCATAACAACAGCACCCTGGGAAAGTGGATTGCACATTAATCTGTTGTGCATACAGGCAATATATTTCATGAGTTTTGAGTAGCCAGTTTATCCACACGTTCACTTTGTGAAAACTCATCAAGCTATACACTTATCATCGTGCAGCTTTCTGTATAGGTGTTATATTTCAATAAAATTTTGACCTACATAAAGATGGTGTGATGCCAGTCGGTATCTTGGGGACAGCAGCCTTCAACGTGTCACCCTTCTGAGTGAGCTTGGTTCAGTCTAGACTGGTGGCTCTCTCACCAAACTTCTATTCAATTGGATCTCTGTTTCTACTATTTCATATTGTCTTCTTTCTTGATTTATTCTCTTATTTGGTAGAGCATGTCCTTTAGATAACAGCTTATAGAGAAAGAGTGTGCAGGAAGTATATTTTTTGAGACCATGCATGGACTAAAAATGTCTTTATTCTTTGTATAGAATTCTGGGTGGACTTTGCTCCATTGTCTTTTAGGTCCCAGTTTTGCTGTTGAGAAATCTAAACCCATTCTAATTCCTGGTCTTTTGTACATGACCTGGCTAATTTTTCTAATTTTGGTAGAGACAGGATCTCACTCTTGCTCAGACTGATCTTGAACTCCTGCATTCACATGATCCTCCCATCTTGGCCTCCCAGAGTGCTAGGATTGTAGGCATGAGCCACTACACCTAGCCATGTGACCTGTTTTCTCTCTCCAGAAGCATGTTGTATCTTCTCCTTATCCCCAGTGTTAAACTTCCCATCGATGTCCTTCTCGAGGTGTGTTTTGATCTATTGTGAGTGCTTGGGTGTCCTTTCAGTCTGACAGCTTCAGTTCTGGGAATGTTACTTGAGTTGTTTTGTTGATGGTTTCTTCCTGATCTGTTTCTTCTGCTGTCTCTCTTTTTTTTTAGTCTCACTTTGTCACCCTCAGTAGAGTGCTGTGGCGTCATAGCTCACAGCAACCTCCAGCTCTTGGGCTTAAGTGATTCTCTTGCCTCAGCCTCCAAGTAGCTGGGACTACAGATGCCCACCACAACACTTGGCTATTTTTTTTGTTGCAGTTTGGCCGAGACCGGGATCAAACCCGCCACCCTTGGTATATGGGGATGGCACCCTACTCACTGAGCCACAGGCACTACCCTCTGCTGTCTCTTTTTAAATGTTGGACCTCCTGAACTGATTCTCTATTTTTCTAATCTTTTCTCTCATATCTTCTTTTTCTTTTTGTTCCTGTTTCTTGGAGATTTCCTCATCTTTACTTTTCAACCCTTGTATTGAAATTTTATTTTCTTTTTTATAGCATTCTCTTGGGGTTTTTTGGCTATGATACTACTTCTTTTATCTTTAAAGATATAGTGATGACTTTTTGTTTAGTTTTCTTCTTACATAGTTTCATTTCCTTCCCATTTGTTCTGGCCTTGTCTTCCCTGTTGGAATTCTCCTTGGAAGCCTGGTAGTCCTTGATATCTTCTTAAGGAAATACTGAGAGTGAGGCAACTGAAAAGCCAATCAGAAGTCCTGAGAGTGAGGGTAGGGCCTGTCCCTGTCCGGTTCCACTGAGAATCTGGGTGAGCCATTTATTGGGCAGAGTGTCTAGTTATTTCCCCTTGGGCTAGTCATTCTCCTTTGAGAAGACTCTTTTAATCTCCTCCCAGAGGGTAGGAATCTGATTGCCAGTGTCCTGGGAGACAATGGGGGAAGACTGTGGGTGGCTGTCTAGCATTCATCCTTCATTTAGACACTGACCCCTCCATTTGCGCTAGAACTCCTACTCACCTGTGTCAGTGTCCTCTGTTCCATAGACCCTTTAAGGTGTTACTTTCACATGAGAACCCCTTCTCCAGCTCTGAGCTGGAGCAGCAGGAATGAGATCTAGCTGCTCTTGAACAACTTTTAGTCATTCTTTTTCTTTTTCTTAGTTCTCCCATCCAACTTCTAACCAAGCCATACGCTGCTTAGCTTCTAAGGTCAGATAAGATCAGGTATGTTTGGGGTAGGATAGCCATGGACAAAATATCTTCTTTTTCTTTCTTTCTTTCTTT